TCCCCGAGCACCCACGGGTGAATAAAGGATGTGGACGGGAGTGCGGTGCCCAGCGTGTGTGGGGAGCTTTGCTTTTTCTGGCAAATTTGGCAGCCCCAGCAGCAGAGGAGGGAGGCGAGGAGCCCCGGGCAGCTCGCAGACGCGCCCCTCGGGCCAGCACAAGGGTTTTATTTCAAGGGTGGGTTGTTTTTCCCAGGAGAGGGAAAACCGAATCAAGCATCGGCACTTGCTTACCAACGTCGAGCGCGCCACGGGGCTGGAAAAGCCCAGCTCCGCACAGGAGCGTCCTGGCATGGCGTGGAGCATGGCGAAGGGGAAAGCCTCTGCTGCCCAGCACGTGCTATTTAATATTTAATCCCGGCGCTACTTAAACTATATACACCCGCGCCCAAATTCGGGAGCCCGAGTCCCTCCTCAGGTCAGGCCCCGTCCTGCCTCGGCCGGTGCTGGTGAAACCCTGGTGGCGATCCCGGGCGGAGGTGACCCCACCACGGTCCTGCCTCTGAGGTGGCGGAGGCTGCCTAGTTGTTTTTTTGAGCTTAAAAAAAAATATATATCCTAAAAAAGAAGGAAGGTGGCAGTTTGCCGGCGGTGGAAGTGCTGGCTGGAGGCACTGCGGGCGTGTTGATGGTGTCGGTGCTGAGCGCTGCCGGTGGGACACTGAAGCGTCAGGGTTTAATCCCGGTTTTGCTCTTCTACGCCTTTCCGGGAGGGCACCAAATCAGCCTCCGCACCAGGACTGGCCTCGCCACGATCCCCCGGGGAAACCGAGGCACCACGGCCCGGCACCAAGAGGGGCCCATGGGAGATGTCGGCATGGAAAAAGGTAAAACTGGGAGGATTTGGCACATCTTGGCTGTGCCCGGCAGCTCCTGGCACGCTTCAGGAAGGTGGCTGTGTCCTTTTGGCTGAAATCCCAGTCGGGCACGAGGTGGGGGCTGCCGTCCCTGCTCCCTCTCCACGTCACCGACCCAATGCCTCTGGGAAGGAGGGATTTGCCAGGGGGACGATGACCAAAAGCCACCGGGAGCCGGGCGAGGATCACTCTGCATAAATTATCGCGGGGTTAAAGCGCTCGAGGTTGGCTTCTCCTCCAGTTGGGGGATCAGGCAGTTCAAGTTTGGGCTGAAAAAGCCGGGAATCTGCAAAGTCCAAGAGGCCGGGTTACGGAACCGCACAAGCGGTGGCTCGTTTGGGTGTGTTAATTAGCAGTGGTGCCTGGGAGGGGGACAGCGGGTGCTCAGGGCTGCCACAGCCACCCCCACAGCCGTGTACTCACACGCTACACGACCCGGGAGCTGGTCCACCGGCGCT